AAAATGAGAAAACACCAAAGAGAACTGCTACACCAAGGTAACGAACATACCGAAAGAAACAAGAAAATACTAAAAGAAACAAACACACCAAAGAAAATGAGAAAACACCAAAGAGAATAAGAAAACACTGAAGAAAATAAGTACACCAAAGGAAACGAACACACCGAAAGGAACAAAACGCACTAGACAACGGTGCCGAATGTGACTTGTAAAGACGACTAAATCTAACTTAAAAGAAAGAAAAAGGTATGTAGTTTAGTTTAAAACAAAAAAAGAAACAAAAAAAAAAGTGAACTGCGAAAAAAGGAAAGAAGCAAAAGAAAAGAAGCAAAAAAAAGAAGCAAAAAAATAGAAAAAAAAAAAACTAAAAAAAAATGAACAAAGATATAAAAAAAAAGAAGTGAAAAAAAGAAAGAAAAAAAAAAGAAACTAAAAAAAAATGAGTGAAAGAGATAAAAAAAAGGAGGATAAAAAATAAAAAAAAAAGAACAAAAAAAATAAAAAAAAAAAGAAAAAAAAAAAAAGGGAACAAAAAATAGAAACCTGAAAAAAAAGAAGTGAAAAAAAAAACAAAAAAGTAAAAAAAAGAGCAAAAAAAAGAAGCAAAAATAATATACGAAAGTAGCAGAAAAGCAGAAAGCAAAAACAGCAAAGTGATAATACCAAAATGAAAATAGCAAAACAAATCAGTAACACAAAGGCAGCAAAGTGAAAGCAGTAAAGCAAAAGCAATAAAGCAAAAGCAGCAAAGCGAAAACAACAAAACAAAAACAGCAAAGCAAAAGCAGCAAAGCAAAAGTGGCAAAGTAAAAGCAGTAAAGACGGCAAAGTAAAAGCAATAAAGGCAGCAAAAGCAATTAGTAAAAAAAAAAACAATGATTATCAAAATATATGATTACTAATTTTATTGGCTAATTATAGAGGGGTGCACAACCACACAGATGCACAGAAAACATTTTTCCCCAAAAAAATATTTGTTCAGATGACTTATAATTTGCCTATTAAATAAAGATATTAGCGTGATCCACCTAAGTGAAGCAAAAATATTTTAATTTTAAATTAATTTTTTTTTACTTTAATGATTCTACGAATTATCCAGAGCGGCCTCCAAAAGTTCGATGATATAGATTATGGTATCACTATTTAAATATACACAACAATACAAAAAGATATACTAATATATTATACAAGGATAATTTTCTTTTAATTTTTTTATCAAAGACTAGAGGTCTAGTGATTATTCTAGCAAAGAATAGGTTAAGAGTAAAGTAGCTCTTACTTTTATCTTCTATAGCATAGTTTATTATTATGTATTTAATATATATACTGTATAATTAACTATTAAATAAAAGAGATAAAGGATAGACCTTGTTTTAAAAAAAAATACACTTTTTTAACTTTAATTTATATTTATAGTTTCAAGATATTGTTTGTATAGATCTTAATATTCAAGATATATAGAATTTGTATTATTGCAGATATAGGTGTAGAGTTTTTTTTGTCTAGTATTGTAATTTTGTTATAGTTTGCTATAAAGTATACTGTAGTATACTCTATACCAAATATAAATACTCTTTTAAAATTGTATATTTTTGGTTTATAAATAATTTAATTTTTTTTTATAATCTAAAAATAAATACTACAAAAAAGTAATCTATATTTTAAATATTATTATACTAAATTTCATTTGAATATTTTAAATTATTAAAAAAATAGATCAGTAATATATTTATAGTACCAATACAGACAAATTTGCCTGTATTGATCTACAATCTAAGAGATAATAATTTTTTAGACAAATTTATCTAAAAAAACCTACAAATTAGGAGATGACTATCCCTTAGATTGTAACACAGGCAAATTTGCCTGCATATTTTAAAATTTTTAATAAAATTTTAAATATTGATT